TTTGTTTTTTGGGTTGACTGAACTTTGCAATGAGACCAAACAGCCTATGTACCTTCTAATATGAAGGATCAAGTCGTAACATAGTTCTCAATTATTTTTTTTTTACATTTTAACTTTTGCCTAAGTCGCCTTTCTAAGGATTTCCAACTTAATAGTCATTCCTTTTTTGCATGACTTAATTTTTCCTAAGTCGTCCTATTAAGGATTTTTGGTTGAACGGGCTATTTTCTATTGGCAATTTAAGCTTTTACTGAGGAAGAACTAATATTCATGCATTGCAACGCTTTAAGAATTGGCAATTGATTGGGCCGACTATGAGTCATAGACTCAAGCAATTAGTCTTTTTCACTTCACTAGCAATTGGTAGTATGAACTTTTTCAATTATCGACATCAACTTGGCAATTTCAAAATGGCAATGACGTGAATAATCTTTAAGAAAAGAGACTTTTTGTTTTTGGGTTAACTGAACTTGGCAACGAGACAAAGCTGCCTACGTACCCTCTAATATGAAAGACCAAGTTATAATATAATTCTTGTGTTTTTTTTTTTAGATTCTAACTTTTGCCTAAGTTGTCATTTTAAGGATTCTCAACTTAATAGTCTTTCCTTTTTTGAAGGACCTAATTTTGCTTGAGCCATTCTATTAAGGATTTTTGGTTGAACGGGTTTTTTTTTATTGTCTGTTTAAGCTTTTACCGAGGAAGAACTAATATTCATGCATTGTAACATGTCAAGAATTGGCCATTGATTGGGCTGACAATGAGGAGTAGACTCAAGCAATTAGTCTTGTTCACTTCACTAGCAATTGATGGTATGAACTTCTTCAATTATTGATGCCAACTTAGCAGTTTCAAAATGGCAAAGATTTGAATTATCTATAATGAAAAAGACTTTTTTTTTTAGGTTAACTGAGCTTGGCTTTGAGACCAAGCTGCCTACATACCTTCTAATATAAAGGATCAAGTCATAATGTAGTTCTTGTATTTGTTTTTCTATTCTAACTTTTTCCTAGGTCGTCATTTTATGGATTCTCAACTTAATAGTCTTTCTTTTTTCATAGGACCTAATTTTTGCCTAAGCTATCCTATTAAGGATTTTTGGTTTAACGGGTTCTTTTTTATTAGTAGTTTAAGCTCTTACCGAGGAGGAACTAATATTCATGCACTGGAATGCTTCAACAATTTGCCATTGATTGGGCTGAGTGTGAGGAGTAAACTCAAGCAATACATCTTTTCTTCACTTGCAATTGATAGTTTGAACTTCAATTATCGATGCCAACTTGTCAATTTAAATATGGAAAATATTTGAATTATCTTTAATCAAAGAGACTTTTTGCGTTTTGGATTGATTGAACTTGACAATGAGACCAAGCTACCTACGTATGTACCCCCTAACATGAAGCATTAAGTCATAACGTAGGATCGAATTTTGGTTGAAAATACCTTAGGCTTGCTATTTGCTATAGCAAAGATGAATGGCTTGGACATCATGAGTTTATTCTGATGTTGATATGCTACAAGAGTATGAAAGGTAGAGTAAATAATGGAAAGCAAAAAGGGAGAAAAAGTAAAAGCACGTGACACCAGAGCACAGTAGAGGGGAGAACTCGGGCAACCCCAGTGCGAACTCCCCTCAAAACACCAAAAAATTGAATATTTTTATTAAGTTGGGGTGACCTACCATGCAAGCGCACTTGTCATGGCAAAGGTTAGGGATGACAAAGATAGATCAAGACTTAGGACCTTCCATGAATAAATTACTAGGATTGACATCTTACACATCTTTTGAAAAATCTTGACCCATCATAAACAAAAATTACCAAAAGATCATTTATACAAGAAAGTTGATTGAAAAAGAGAAGAAAAAATTAAATTAAATGGAACTCTAAAATCCTTAGCAATAGAAATAAAACAAGCAAAAAGGAAAAATTGAGTGAGATTATAGTTGGAAGAAAAGAGAGGAAAATTGGAAGAAGAAAAAGAGTTTAGTTACCATTGAAAAGAATGCTGAGGTAAATTTGAATAGAGTGAAGAAACTTCCAATGCGTTATCTTTCGAAGAGATTATTTCTAGAAGATAAAATAAATAGGGATTTCAAGTAAAGACTGTAACGACCTCTTCCCCTCGATCGCTACCGGCATTCGAGACTTGTGAGTGAACTCACCAAATCTCAAACAAGCCTTAATTTGATCTCCACATCACCTCACATATTAACACCAATAATTATTTACACCAAATATTCACATTTATTTAAAACATAACTATTTGATACAAACATCTAAGTTTAATAACTACATGTACAACCAGTCATAGTATTTAAACATTTCCACATAGTCTTATGCTTTAACATTTACATCTTTAAAGACTATCAATTTTTACACCCTAGATTATTGTATACACAATGACCCCTAGGCAGCGGAGTGACCCGGAGTGGAAATCTAGAGAGGCCATACCTAGGGCGTAGTCACCCTCGATATGTCGAACACAATCCTAAAGCTGATCACTTATCTGCA